TACAATATATATAATATATTAAAAATTTTATTCGATGTATTTGTTTAAATCGTCGATGTAATAATTTTATTGTTTTAAGCGTCAGTTCTCGAGTATTTTGTTTTTTCTAAAAATTACAAATTTTTTTTGAAGCTCTGTCCACTTACTTGAAAGTTCAATTTAAAATAAAAAATGTTCAACACTTAACACTACTTTGATCACCAAAAGAAAACAGAAAAATTTGTACAAACGCACTGAAAAATTGAATTACTGCAAGTTGTAAATAGTAGAATAAGAAAAAAGCGCGAAGCTATCGAGTCAATGGCTTTGTGCATTGTGGGACAGTTGTAATCGCAATCGCGCATCTAAGTACCTACTGACTCGCGTCACAGATAAACTATACCTGCTGATGCCCGCGCGACTGGATGGTATTGTCCATGTGCTTTATTTGTCTGTATACTCCTCCTCCTCCTCGGTGTTGCTTTCTTCTCTGCCTCCTTGACATATGCACCAATCAATCGTTGCATTCTTTTTTATGAAGCTCTCGGACACTTGTCTGTTAGTACTCATACTGTGTTTGTTCGAGTTTTATCTGCATTTGTGAAGAATAATACGGTATTAAGAAAAAAAACATTAGTCATTTATATCAATGCTTGTTTAAGCTTATCTGGCACATGTAAGGAGGTAAACATTACTAGTTTTCATTTGTTTACAACGATTTTATTGTAACTTTTGTTTATAGTATTTTGTACATATACATTTATCTATAACATATAAAATCTTTGTATAAAAACAATTGGACGGATTGTTGTAGTCGTGCTTACGAAGTAATTCAAGAGATTTTTTCAGTTTACTATATACATTTTAAAAATGTACAGATGAGATTCTTTTAGTCAGTATTTTTTAGTAAACAGAGAATTCTCTTTTACATTAAGGTATAATCTTAACTTAATTAAAATGGACGGAATTTAACAATATTTGTTTACTATACGATAACTTAAATTCCAATGAGACTTGTAATAAATTTAAATAATAATAAAAGGGTCTCACAGTATTTGAAGTTATGTTACAATTTCTTATGTTTTAGTTATGAGACATACTAATACTAATTTAGATCGTTTATCGCCGAATCATTGATAAACCAAATTGCTATGGATTCCGAATGTATAGTATTAAATTTAGACATTTTCATCTTATTTATTTATTTTTTTTTTTCGAGTGACTTTGTCCTCCTTGAAATGTATTCAATTGATAAATAATTTGATTCTATAGTGACGAGTACACAAATAGTGTCTTCACTCGCAGTTTGCGGATACATTTGAAATTGAAAACAATTAAAGGATATGTGACCAATTTTTTTTTATCTAAAGATTTTCTATTTGCACCAAATAGTTGTGGACATAACTAGATGTAACTGCTCCTAACCAAGACGAAACTTTATAAAAAAGAATAGTCATAACAGTTTGATAAAAAATACAGTAAAGTAAATATTTTGTTTTAGTGCAGGTTATTTTTGATAACAACGAAATCCGCTTTTTCGTGTTACGTAATTAGTTTTTCCGCCCTCGGGTGGTTTTGGGAGGCTGGTACTTCCTCAGGCGAAAAAGCAGTTTTCCGGAACTCGTTCGAAAAGTCTCCTTTACGAACCTCGTTACGTCCCTCGCCTTCGGCTCGGGCCGCAAACCTCTCGGTTCGCAAACAGAGACTTTTCAAACTCGTAGGAAAACTACTATTT